CAACCTCATCGTGCATCAGAGGGTGCACGCAGGGCTTCGCGAGTGCCAGAAATGCGGGAGAAGCTTCCAACCCAACTCGCGTTTTGGTCTGACGGTGGGGAAGGGCTCGCTCCGGTGCCCCCAGTGTGCAGAGGGTTTCAAGGAGGGGTCAAACCCCGTCGAACAGCAGCGATAACGCCGGGGAGAAACGGCTTCGTAAGTGCCCGGAGCGGGGACAGAGTTTTTGGGAAGAGTTGAGACGTCGTACATGAAAGAGGGGGGGAAAAAAAAAACCAAACAGCGCTTCTCCTAGGTAAAATTCTTCATTTTTAAAGACTGCAAAAGTGGAAAAAAAAAAAAAAAAACAGCCCATGCAAATGATCTAAAGTAGGCTGATCGGTAAATAATACACTTTTTTTTTTTTTTGACTAATTATTTCCTTTTATTACTGAGTTTGCTCAAAGGGCTCGATGTGTTGGTCCACGATCCGCTCGCTCCATCACTCCCCAATCAAACCAGCTGCTGCTTCAGGCTGTCCGTCATCCCATCGTCTGTCTTTAAGGCCCTTCCTTAAATCCCTTGGCGTTTTCCAGGCTGGGTACCCATCAGCACCCCAAAGACGCTGTAGAAATCCGTCTTCCCCTGCACGTCCTTTCCTCCCCCTTGTCTGTATGCAACCTCAATAAAAAAAAAAGGTCCTCTGCTCCTAAGGAAGATCATGTTCTCCTCGTATTTTTCTGCTACCTAAATATATTACATTTTTATTTGCTCCTGTGTGGCAGGGAGAAGTTACTGCTGTTAAAAAGCCAAGAGGAGAAAATTGCGAAGAGCTTCGTAAAGATGTCGGCGAGCAGGGGACGGGAGCTGACTGTTTATAGCCTAAGAGAAAACAGGGAGCTCTTGGTGAAACCATGATTGCCGTGTCCGAGGATTTAGCCCGGGGCCGGTCCTCCTCCCTTCCAGCTCTGCATCCTGGAGGAAAGCGAATTTGGGGGAAACCACACTTTCCCAACAGGTTTTTGGAGAGTTTGGGTTGGTTTTTTGGGTTGGTTTTTTTTTTTTTTTTTAGGGAGTAGGGTGGGTTTTTCTTGTTCCTGAGCTGGCATTGAGTTTGGAAGCCGCTCCGATTTGGTTAGCGGAGCCGAAACAAGCCTCGGTGCAAGAAACTCCAACTGAAGCCTGACCACGAAGGGGGAAACTGGTCTCTTTGGCCAGATGCTTTCTGCCTCGGTGTCCAGAAGAACCAACATCTGCTTGGCGCTGCTGTGCGACACAGGCTCACGGGGACGACGACGACGACCTGCACGTCCCTTACCGGGGCTTCCAGGACCTAGCGCGAGGGAAGGTCCGCAGCCATCGGGGTGCTCCAGGTATTTCACGAAGAGCTCGGCTCCTTGGCTTCGTCTTCCTCTTCCCTTTACCTCCTCTTTGTGCAGTGGGACCTCCCACCCCTTCCCTTTTATCTCCTTAGCCCCCCCTTGCCTCCGAAGACTTAACAGCTGCCCGTGGTGGCCACCACAGCAAAGATCTGCGGGAACGCCACAGAAATGGTGTCACCTCTGCTTGCCGGGGTGGTTCTTTCCACCTTTGACTTCGACGTAGCCCTCCTACAACTTCCTGACCTTCAATCGGCACTCGTCTCCGACGCCTTTAGGCCCCCGATGGTCCCCTGGGGTAGTCAATATATCCTTGAGAGCCAAAACCGAGCGTCTGAGCCAAAATTGTGGTACCACGGTGCTGCTTTTAGATAAAAAAAAAAAAAAGGTGGCTGTTCAGTTCCTCCCAGTTGGGTTGGAGTTGCGTCAATAACGTCCTGGTGGCGAGGGCGATGTCACGCAGCGTTTCTGAACGTGCGTGAGCGGATAGATGGTCCAGAAAAGGCTTATCTAGGATTTGGATAGAGAAGTGAGAATATCATTATTGCTTCTGGGCCAAATTCAGGTTTGGGGCTACTTTTATTTGTCACTGTAGCTACCCTGGACCGTAAAGGGGTCTCTGGCAAGACCGGGCACCTTCCCAGTAGGGATGGGACCATCCCATCTAGCGATGGGTCACCTAGCCCGAAGCAAGAGGACGGGCAGCTCCAACCACAGCCCTCATAGATGTAGACGAGCTACCGTAACGGCAAGCGCATCAGCAGTGCCACACCAACAGAGTCACGCTGAGGCCACAGACGTCCCCATCACGCGTAGAGTGAGCAAAGGGATGTCACCGTGTAATCTAACGCTTGGACTGGATGATCTTAAAGGTCTTTTCCAACCTAAACGATTCCATGATTCTATGGTCTACGTTTTTGTGTCAACGGCCTCCATCCTGCAGACCTTGGGTGGCCTCCGGAGGACCAGGACGGAGGATCGTTGGACCAACGTAACGTACCCCGGACGTCAGCTGCACGGTTTTACAGAGCGTGATGGGATCTTAACCCCCAGGAGGAGAATTCTTTCTGAGGGATGCATGGGTCGTCCGGCCAACGCATGCGACCCCCCGCTTCCCCGAAGACAGCCACTGTGTGACTGGTGTTGGTCGACAGCGGCTGAACATGAGCCAGCAGTGTGCCCAGGTGGCCAAGAAGGCCAGCAGCATCCTGGCTTGTGTCAGGAATAGTGTGGCCAGCAGGAGCAGGGAGGTGATTGTGCCCCTGTGCTTGGCACTGGTGAGGCCACATCTGGAAACTGTGTCCACAAGAAGGACATTGGGGTGCTGGGGCGTGTCCAGAGAAGGGCAGCGGAGCTGGGGCAGGGTCTGGAGCACAGGGCTGGTGGGGAGCGGCTGAGGGAGCTGGGGGTGTTCAGCCTGGAGAAGAGGAGGCTGAGGGGAGACCTCATCGCTCTCTACAACTCCCTGACAGGAGGGGGCAGGGAGGGGGTGTTGGGCTCTTCTCCCAAGGAACAGCGATAGGACGAGAGGAAATGGGCTCAAGCTGCGCCAGGGGAGGGTTAGGTTGGAAATTAGGAAAAATTTCTTTACGGAAAGGGTGGTCAAGCATTGGAACAGGCTGCCCAGAGAGGTGGGGGAGTCCCCATCCCTGGAAGTGTTCAAAAAACGGGCAGAGGTGGCACTTGGGGACATGGTTCAGTCTGGTCTACCCTTGGTTGGCTTAGAGTGGGCTTGGTAGTGTAGGTCAATGGTTGGACTGGATGATCTTCAAGGTCTTTTCCAACCCAAACGATTCTATGATTCTATGATTCTATGACCATGGTGAGCTAAAGAGGGGACAGTCGGTGGCCGACAGTGACAAGAGCGGAGGCTCCGCTCCAGAGCGGAGCCAAGGATGGGGAAAGAAGGTGGAGGAGGCGCCTGGGGACCACGTTTCTGTGATGGAAGGGCCCATCAGGAGAGGGATGCACGGGAGCCACGCAGTGATGCCAAGGCCATTCTGCGTGCTTGCAATCACACCCGTTATTTAGTAAATAAGTTCATGTTTTACTCCGAAACACATATACAGGTATTCTCCCGCCCGGTCCTTGCTGACGCCGATGTGGAACGCAAAGATCCCGCACTTTCCGTATGCCAGCGCCTGTTTCTTCTGCGCTTTTCCTCCTACATCTTGGAAAGTCTGAGCTTTTTCTCCAGCCCGTCTCTTTTTTTCCCCCACTCCCACCCAGGAATTCAATGTTTTTTTTTCTCCTCTGCGTCGCTGCTGATGCTCGGCGGGGCTGAGCGCGGGCCAGCGCTGTCCTCCATCAAGACGTCGCGACGGATCGAAAGAGCCGAGTCCTCCGGCAAGCTCCTTCCACGCTGCCGGCGTTTGCGGAGGCCGTCGGCGCCGCGCACTTGCTGGGTGCACCGTCAGGTTGGATTTCCTACCGAACCGCTTCCCGCACGCCGGGCACGGGTAGGGCTTCTCCCCGGCGTGGGTTCGGCGATGCGCGATGAGGTCCGAGCTCTGCCCGACGCCCTTCCCGCACTCGAGGCACTTGTAGGGTTTTTTTTCCGCCGTATGGAAACGCTGGTGGGCGACGAGGTCGCCGCTCATCCCGAAGCTTTTCCCGCACTCGGGACACCCATACGGTCTCTCCCCCGTGTGCAACCTCTCGTGTCTGACGAGCGTGGAGCAGCCCTTGAAGCGCTTC